GATGACTAATAAATTTCGGGCCCCTGAGCGTAGAGAGAGAGAGAGAGAGAGAGAGAGAGAGAGAGAGAGAATTACCATTTAAACTGAAACAACAATGAGTTATAATACAAGTGAAAGAATCACTAGTATCTTAGTAATATCTGCAGTAAAAGAATTTCACAGTTTGGTTGAAAAACTAAAAAACCCCAAAACCTGCTTGTCCAAAACAGCTGATATAGTATACCTACAATGACCTTAAAAAAAGATATTTGAGGGTTGTACCCACTGTAAGTCCCCCAATGGAATTTGTCTGTAGTCCTGCCACAGCTTATTATAAACCATGTGAACTGTTAGCATCTTGTGACTTTGTCATTTGTATCTGCCAAGATAGCATTTCTAGTTGCTCTCACAATGGCTCAAAGACTAGGGGAATTAAGGGATCTGCCTTTCGATCCCCCCTTCACCAAGTGCCATCACAATAAGGTGGCCTTGCACCCAAGCTTCTGCCCAAGGTAGTATCTAAACTCCATATAGCACAGGATATAAATTTACCTGTATTTTTTCCCAACCCCCAAGCAGGGGCTGAAAGAACTTTACACATATTAGATGTCAGGAGAGCACTATTGTTTTATTTACAGTGCACAATGTAAAAATAAAAACCTTTTTGTGTGCTTTAGAGGCCAGAAGAAAGGGAAGGCATTCACATCCCAAACCCGGTGCAGGTGGGTTATATCTGCAATCCATCTAGCATATGAAAGAGCCAAAGCAGACTGCCACTGAAAGTTCATTCCACCAAGGCTCAGGCTTCCTCACTACCTTCAGTTTGAGAGTTGATATGCCAGACATTCGCAGAGCAGCACTGTAATCATCGCTGTCCACATTCATCAAGCATTATTCCATTGATGTGGATTCCAGAAGTGAGACAGCTGTTGGGAGAGCAGTATTACAATTGCTTTTTCAATGACCACCCCAAACCCACCTCCTTAGTAAGTGAACTCGCTACTCTCCCACATAGGACTGCACAGAAGACACAATGATGAAAACAGGGTTGCACTTTACTTGTAACTGTCGTTCCTCAAGCTGTAACTGTCGTTCCTCAAGTGTCTTCTTTCCCTGCTGTGGGCTAATGTTTCTCTTTGATTGGGAGAACTGAGGGAGGAGCCCTGTCCCCACACCTGTCGCATGACTGTTTGGGTGGGAAAGTATCTGCTCTTGGTTCGGGATGGAGGGGAGGGGGAGTGCTCCTGAGCACACTGAAGAATCTAAAAGCTAGCAACTCTAATCTCCATGGTTGGCTTGCGCCTGTGCAGTCCCCATGTGTGCCTGAACAGAAGACACTCGGTGCACAACAATAACAGCGGGTTATTGATTGTGATATATATATCCCATTAAAGTAGAACTGAAATCATGGCAGAATAGTACATCTGAGTCCCATCCCTAAACAATATAACATTTGATGGGTTGAAATGGAGTGAATGCCTTTTTCTGTCCATAGTAATCATTATCTTGTGTGGTGATGACAAAACATTATACTTTGATACAAATGTATTGTAATAAATATGGTATTTATATATTTACAGGGAAGGTGGTATCATCGGAAGCAAGCTGTAAAGGAGCTACACTGTACCCTGATACGACTGCTAAATGAGTTGTTACCATGGGAACCAAAACTAATGAAGGCCTTTCAAAGAAACAGGTAATTAGCTGGCTTCTCTTAACTAATGTGTCATGTAAGAATTCATCATCAATAATATTAAGTTGTTCATTGCTAATATGGATATGGACAAAGAGCCTGATTTTCTTGCACTACCTTCAAGGTTGGAAGCTATACAGAGATAATTGACCAAATCTGTGTTTTCCTAGTAAATAATTTCTTAAGTATTGCTGATCTCTGATGTTCTGTTGAAGGTCTCGATTGAAAAAGGATTACGATGACTTCAGAAGGCAACCAGACTATGACAAATTTACTAGAGAACACTGGACTAATGAAGACTCTGAAGTAAATTCTAGTAAAGAAATTTCCAGTACATTAACCAGTGAGTCTTCAGAGCACTCTGAATTTCTGAAAAGGGATTATACTGATGCAGGTAGGTGTTGTGTTTTGTTATTGTGTCTGTGTAGATATGTTGTAGCAGTTCATGTATGTTGGTTCTTATTTAGAGCAGTGATGCTCAGGGACTTGGGAGCCACCTGTGGTTCTTCTGAGTACTTTCCCCCAATGTGGTGGCATTTGTCCTGTGATTGGTTGGCAACTGAGAGTGTATAAGCGGAGCTAAGAAGTGTGTGGAGAAAGTCAGTGTGTTCAGTCAGTCGTGATCAGTCAGCAGTCTACAGACTCTGAGAAGCAGGCTTCTGATTAGAATCCCATATTAGTGCTGTGAAAAGCATTTAAGATTCTAAAAAGAAGGTAGAATACTTATAGAGGGCATATTAGCAACTAGAGAGAGTAAAAACCTAATATCATCAAAGTATTATAAGGGTGCGAGAGACAGAAACTGACAGAAACCTGAGTTAAAAAGTGAACAATTAAACTGAGCTAAATAAAATAAAGATTGGAGAAAGTACATTCTAAAGATAAAGGAGGACTGGAAAGTGAGGAGTGCTTGTGAAGTGAAATGATACCTTAGTCAGAAGTTATTAATATACACTGTTTTATTCACTGAAGAGATAAGTTACAAAGCATCTTGAAACCAATACACTTCTTGTACAAATAAAGTTTTATTTTGTGTTATGAAAACCTGGAATTATATGCTATTACAATACAACAGTCTCATCTTCGGGATCACATAGTCCAACAAAGGAGCCTTAGAGCTGGGTTACAATGCTATGGGAAAGGTTAATTCATAGGATTGGAATTAAATTCCTGGTGGCAGCATTACATACCTTGAGTGAGAGGAAGAAACAACAAGAAATATCAAAACACAGCATATCTACCCACAAATTTAAAAAGAGTAGTTGTGACAGAGAGCTGGAGAAGTGGAACACTGGAACCTTTAGTCCTGTTCCCATTATGAAATTTGTGGAGTAGGAATACATTTGCTATATGTAAAAACTCAATTATTTTTCTAGGTTTTCCACTCACATATCTAATCCGCATATGAAGCGACCCTATATGAAGTCAGAACTTATATGAAGTCAGGCCTATCTGGGTCAGTACTATCTACTGTGACTGGCAGTGACTCTCCAGAGTCCCAGGTGAAGGTCTTTCACATCACCTACTAGACCTGATCCTTTTCACTGGAGATGCTGGGGGTTGAACCTGGGACCTTGTATATGGAGAGCATACATTGCGTTAAAGTGTTACCTTGTACTTTTTCATACCTTCATAAACTTCCATAATGTTGGTTCCTAATGATTTCCAAATAAAATTTTATACCTGTTCAGTAAAGGTTTGAAAATTAAATTGGGTATACTGCTCTGTTACTGTGTAATTAGCATGCACGATGAATTCATGAAAAGGAACATTCATTTGAAGCTCCGTTAGCTTGTGGCTAGCATTCCGGCTATATGTTGCTAAAACACTGGTCAATTCATAGAAATTTAGAATATGTTGGCTTTTAAAAACCATTCCTTTTTTCTGTTTTTCAGAGGACATGAAACTGTCAGAAATGGATCTTGCTGCAGGAAAAGCCAGGCCACTAAAAAAAGAATTATCTTGTAAAGAAATACAGAAGACACTGCCTAAATCTGTTAAGCGTCAGTCCAAGCAAAACAGTTACTTAGATGATAGTACAAAAGAGTTCTTGCCGCGAAAGAAACTGAAATTAAGCACAAGTAATACTGCAGTCCATGACACAGAAAATGAGCTGTCAGTTGATGGCTGCCTGAATAAACAGAAACAAACAGAATCCCCATTTTCAGAATCGTTGGATATGACAGACTCCACAGCATCCATCTCAAGCATAACAAAAGGGACCAAACCTATCCAGGCTTTGCTTGCTAAGAATATTGGGAACAAAGTGACCTTAACTAGTCAGTTGCTACCCTCTGCAGGTAGAAGCATTGCTGCTTCTGAAAAGTTGATCATGTCCACTGTTGGTTCTTCCTCAGTCAATCCAGTGTTGTCCTGCCAGACCAATTCAAAAAGCCCTTTGCAAGTGTTGTACAAAATGCCAGTTGGTCACTGTGTGCCAATAGACCTGCATAACAATTCAATGAAAATTCAAGTCCAGCCTGCAGTTGACTATAAACCAGGAGACAAAGCCACAGGAGAAAAACTCATGCAGCAAGTTCTGATTTTGCCTAAAAATTTCCTCATCCATCACAGAGAAGCTAAAAATGTGGGGAAAGATATCTTGTCATTGCAACACAAGACTACAGATCAGCAATGTATCTCTCTTCCACAGCCAATGGCTGTCCACACAACTTTAGCAACCTCCCTTCCAGCTTCCTCTGTAAATGCTGCTACCACATTTCTGTCCATCCCAGACTTCAAAAAGAACACTACACATTTGCTCCCCGGGGCCAGTGCAGTAAAAAGACTTCCAGTGTTGCCCTCCATAACTTCCACAGCTAGTGTACTGGCATCAGTGGCAAAAATAAGCCAAAGTGAGACTACTAAAACAAAGACTGTCATTTCAGCTGACTCATTCCCTGTCACTTCACCCACTGTTTCCTCTACAGTTCAATCTTTGACAACACCTCTCTCACAAAATGTTTCTGCAGGCACCTGTAGTTCCTCCCCAAGACTGGCATCACCACAAAAAAGCAATGATGTTGGTGAAGCTAAACAAGAACTGAAAACAGTCTGTATCAGAGATTCACAGTCTATCCTTGTCCGGACGCGTGGTGGGAACACAGGAATTGTTAAGGTACAGACCAATGCAGACCACAGTTCCCCTAGTAACTTATCTCCAAGTTCTGTATTCACTTATGCACCTCAGCTTCAGGCATTTTTAGTGCCAAAAACCACACAGTTGACAACCTCTACCTTTTCAGCTGTTACAACAGCTATGCCCAGTTTCCCAACACTTGTCCAATCCCCTTTAACAACTTCAGCTTCCACTGCAACTCTTCCCGCTCGTGTAAATCATGTTTTTTCAGCTGTTACAACAGCTATGCCCAATTTCCCTTTAACAACTTCAGCTTCCAATGCAACTCTTCCCGCTCGTGTAAATCATGTATTGGGGAAAAACACAACATGTGCATTTGGGCAGTCTCATAACAGTGGCACTGTGGGCCATGGAATGCAAAAAACAATGCATATGTCTTCACCTACCTTCTTGCCTCCTGCATCGTCATCCAACATTGTCATGCCCACACTGCCAAACAGTTCTGGAAATGCAGTTGGCATTCCTCCAGGAAATATTGGGCACACCTCTGGCATTACCCAGACCCCTTATATTAATCAACAGGTTGATGGAAATAGTACACAGTATCTTGCTACTCAGCCTGAGGCCACAGCCACATCCAGTGGAAATCTAATGTGTGGTGCTCAAATTCCAAAACTTATGTTGGTCACAAATCCACCCCTTCTTTCTTCCTGTGGAACTGCGGGCGTCAACCTAATCCCTCCTCCAACATCTCCTGGCCTCAGTGCACAAAAACTGGTTTTTATTAATACCCCACTTGCCAATATCCAGTCAACCACCAATTTAACTGCAGAATCCTTTAAGCAGGCCTTCCCTCCCACCATGAGCAAAACATATGTTAAAAGCACAGAGCAGCCTCAGTTAGTCCTCATTCCTTCTACTGTAGGGGCATCGCTAAAAGTAAACACATCACCAACTGTTTCTCAAATTAAAGATGTAAAAATTGGTGTTAATATTGGTCAGGCCATTATAAATAGCACAGGTAATGCTCAGAATGTTCCTCCAATTAACATTATGCAGTCTGCAGCTCCTAAAGAAGTGGAGGAGAAAAACAGCCAGAGTGTAATTTTGCCATTGTCAGCAAGTGGTGGTTTGCTTCCATTAACGTCAACTTTGGTGAGCCAGAGTATTACATCTGTCAGTGAGTCTCCAATTATTGCAACGCAAGCGCTAAATGTGTCCACAGCAGCAAATGCATGTTTAGATTCTGCTTCAGTGACATGGAGTGGAACTGCTACTGGAACACGGCCTACTGTCTTGGTTGGAGGAATAGATACGTCAACAAAAGTAACACCTGTTTCAGCTACCCGATTGCGTACCTCTAATGCTGGAAATACTGTGGCTATATCAACTGTGAAAACAGGACACCTGGCCTCATCTGTGCTGATTTCAAGTACTCAGCCAACAGTATCTCATCCAAGTTTGTCTACTTTTCAGTTGCCAGTTACAGTTGCCTTGCCTGGACCTGTGAACGGTACCCCTAAAATGATACATTCAGTTCCTCAGTTACCAGCAGTGTCAATTGCTGCACATTGTACACCCCTTTCTAAAGGACAACAGTCTGCACTGGTCCACTTTCAGTCTCCAGGAATTTCAGCTACCTTGCCAACAAATGGAAGTGCTCAAAAACCTCAGACTGTATTACCCCCTAATCTACCAAATACAGGAAAAGTAATTAGTCTTTCAAACTTAGTTCCCTTGCCTTGCCCACAGCTTCCCCCTAATTTTGTAAAGCCAGCTCCTGCTCTCACTTGTGCCCCAGTTGCCTCTACCACTCATACAGCTCCAGTTTCATCTGCAGCAGGAGGACAGTTGAATGAGTCTTGTGTGCAACAGAAAATAATAATTAACACTTGTACACCTTTGGCACCTGGAACTCAAATAATGATCAGCGGCACTCGGTTCATTGTTCCACCTCAGGGCTTGGGAGCTGGCAGCCACGTTCTTCTCATCTCTACAAATCCAAAACTTGGGCCTCTGTTGACTGTTAATAATGGCCATGGGCTTCAAGGAGTGCCCCATGCCCCTCCTGGTCCCCAGAAGATTACACAGGCATCAGATAATACACTGAGTTGGCAACCATCAAAACAACCTTTGAAAAGCTCTACCAAAATTGTGAACTCTCTAGGGGCTGCAAACACTCTGCCTATTGTACATGCAACACCACAGATAGTAAACAGTGTTGCAAAACCATGCACTCCACCTTCTGCAACAGCCCTGTCCCCATCTTTGGTTACAACCTCCTCACCTGCTATGGCTAAATTATCTTTGGTTTCTACAACTCACACTGACAACTCCCAGGTACAAGATAGAGCATCTGTATTGCATTTAGACACATCTATCAAAAAACTGATGGTCAGCCCAGAAGGAGCTATTCTGAATGCTATAAATACTCCAGCATCAAAAACTTCTTCTCTCCCTTCATCCTTCTCTCCTGACACAGTGTCCACAACTAGAAATCCTGCTGTTGTCTTCCCTAACTTTTTAAAGTCCAGCATTGGTGTACCTGATACAGCTGCATCTTGAATTTAAAGAAAATGAGCCAAGTTAAAATGTTGGGGCATTCTTTTGTGTAAAGTAATTTATAATTGTTAAAATTTTCCTTATGCTGTTTGAGACATACCATACATGGAGGCTGGTGTACATGAATTTAAGGCAAGTCATAATTTTTCAATTTGAACAGATGACAGCTCTCAGATACGGGATTGTTTTGCATACCAATTCAGGTGTTGCAGTCCAGGATTCCGCATGTGGCAGCTTTATCATACGCCCAGCTTGTCCTTGCATGTCAAAATGCAAAACTGCCATCAGCTGCCCAGGGTTTGTGGATCTACGGCCCAAGTTTATTTTTTTAAAAATTGCTTCATGTTTGATTGCAACGGCTTTCAGTTTTTCTTTTGGTTTAAAAAAGTAAGGAAACTCCTCTCTAAATAATTTTCAGACTTGTGCTTTCAAAGTGTTGTTTAATAAAGTGGGTAGCAAAGACCCATTTGTTAAGACATGTTATAAAATGCAATGTTCAGTTCTTGACTAGCACACTGACAGGGATATGTTCCCTCCCCCACAAGTTTAGACTTTTCCAATCTTGTTTATAAACAGTATAGTACAGTTTATTGCAAAATTTCCTTTGCATTGGTTTTTTTCCTGTTTCTAAAAAAATAAGCCTATTTATACATTGTAAAAATGCAGCCTATGGTGTAAAATTGTACATATCCCTGACTCCCTAACAGTATGTACTAAAACTATGTGTAAAAAGAACTACTCTGTCTTATTTATGTTTTATTTACATAATGTATAGTTTTTTAAGTATTTTAGTAATTTTGGACAAGTGTACTGTTTAGCAATAATGCAGAAGAATCTGCATGTAATAAAGTTGCTGTATCTTTTCTTTGATAATGCTGTATCAGTGACCTTATGGACAAAGGAACACTTAACAGCACACAGTTTATTTGTTTACATGCATTGAGATGTTGGGGTTTGCAAAAAGACTGTGGTCTTAAGCACATTTAATTTACACATTCCATTAAACTAGTGGGTTTTACTCCCAAGTAACTGTGCTTAAGGCTGTGATTTTTCAGGCCTTCAGTTTCTTCTTGCAGCTCTTCTCTGCATCATTTCTAACTTTTCTAATGCTTACAACAATGCAGACTTCATACATTCCACTGTTAGTTTACCATGGGATGTTGAAAGTCATTTTTATTGTCTAAAACGCCAAATTTGATGTGTTCATTGGTTTAATGATACCAGCAGACTTGTAAAAAGATAATATTTCACTTTTTTGTATTTCTGACACCTACAAGATTTATCTTGGACTTTTTAAAAGTGGGATATAAATATTTTAAATAAAATAAGACAGAGAAGCCAAAATCTGAAGTATGAAGCCTTTCTGGCAAAAATAAGTGATGAAATGTGATGTGCTAAAATTGTTCTGAGCCAGAAGGATTGGAGAGTAGTTGGAATTGTTTGAAGGATTACTGAAATTCAAAATTGTTTCTTTTAAATCATAGGTCCTTGTAGTTGTGAAAAAGAATTTTGGAAGAATAAGGAAAGGAACTGAATTGCTTAATGGCCATATTAGAATTAAGGAAATGCTATTTCTAAATGAAACTATGTGAGGAGTTAAGCAGCAAGCACAAGAACTTTGATGTTTACTATTTATTTTAAAAATTTCTGGGCTGCAAGCTTTCAGCCAAACAAGGTTTTTGAAATATAAAGCATGTTAGCTGAGCATCTGGAAGAATAAACACAAGGTTTAAAACAATTCCGGAAATGAAGAAATGTCATCACTACTTATCCTGCTTCCTTAATTTTTGTTTGGTCAGATTTTAATCTTTGCAGGCACAGGCTCTTTTGTAGAGTGTGACTGTGGATTTTTACTGGACTGGTCTAATCAGTTTCCTCCATCAGCTGGTTATCTTTTCACCTCAGACTTCATATTAGGTAATGAGCAACTATAGCCATTGGATCTAGTGGCAGTAGTACTGTAGTTAGTACAGACGTTCACGTTGTGGTAGACGACTCACTAAATAAATGTCTTGTGGAAGGTCAAAAATTAAAGATGGAAGGTTCAGTACTATACTGTGCCGTGCCGAGAACAGCTTTTTAATATAGGTACTTCAAAGGTTTTGACTTTGTGAATGGAACGTTGCTGTGTAGAGCCTACACAGAGCTGGGATTTGAACTCAGTCTTCTAAGTTTATGTGCTGCTCTTCTTGGTCTCTGCTCCTTGTTCACTGGATCTTGGAGAAGAATCTCAGAGAGGTGTCTTCTGTCTTGCTGTGGACTCTGGAAAACCTTGGCCCGGTGCTTCTGTCTTACTGTGCTGTACTGGTGGCTTCAATACCTGCCACTAGTACATGGCAAGACTGTTATCCAACTATTCTTGAGGTGGAACAGAAAGTGCTGTACTAGTCTCCTCTCTGTAACTGCATCAGAATGAGGGAGAATCAACCTGAAGGTCTACAAATGGGGTTGTGTTCTCATTCACCAGTATCCTGCCCCTTCAACTCTCTTGTATTCTTTAACGGTGGGTATACAAAAGATAATTGTAGAGGGGGAATATTTAGCACTAGTGTTAACATGTAGCTAACTTCTCTTGTCTCATAATTGCTAAAAAACCTATGGGATTCAATTACATCAGTGTGATTTTACCATGTGTATGATGTTACTTGATTAATTTATACTTTCTACCTGATCAGAGACTTACTATAATCCTTGTTTGGCTAGACTTCGTATAATTCCAATTTGCTGCTTCAGTTTCTTTAAAAATGCAAATGATTGTTCACCGGGGCAGCTTGCTATCTGCAATAATTTACAGCTATGGTGGCAACTAATGAATACAAAATAGTATGCCCTAAAACTAATCTGAGTAATAGTAATTTTCATGTTTTGATTAGAACCCAATCTCCAGTTGGTCAAGACAATTTGGATTCCCTGCATACTTCTTTCCTAGTTTCTTTTATCCTCACCAGTATACTCAACAGCTGCAAACAATCACATTAAGGAAATGTATTTTGAGAGTAATTTAGATTTCCCTTGTGTATGTAATGGTTTTCTGTAAAGTTTGTTTTGCAGGACATCCTAGTAATGTCACAACAGGCATGGTATTTAATACTGATTCAGAGGCAGTGTTGTCAGATGACTTCACCATTCAGATTCACTGCACGCTCTCTGTCAAACAGAAGGAATTCAGAATTTTAGCTGTAATTGCCAAAGGGTGGTAACTTACACCAGACTCTGTAAGAGATTAGGTTATTTGCTTGGCACCAAGCTTCAGTGAACACTAGGACCCCTGACAATCAGCTAGAATGGGTGTGCTGCATCTGCCACTTCTACGTAGGTAATGCTGACTTCACAAGCAAGGCAAACTATGCTACCAAATCTGACTATAGTGATCACCTGCCGTTAAAAAGATGGCATCCAGATGTAGCACCCCCAACCTCCAACAGATGGTGGTGGATTGAGTTTGAAATAGCTCCATCTGATTGATCAGAGCCTTTTCTTCATAGCGCTAACCTGGAGGTGATGGCAATGGAACAAAATCCCTAAAGTTCAGAAATCTGGAGGGAGGGGGAGTGCTACACTCATGCTTTCTTTCCTTAAGGTATCTTTCCCCCTAATGTTGAGAGAATGGAAGTAATCTTGCTGGGACAAAAACAGCTGGAGAGAAGTGCTTTTGGGTGGAAACGCACAGGTATGGAATACATTTGGCACACCTGGCATGCACCCTGTCTACAAGCATTATTTTATGCTGCCTTAAAATCTAGTTTGACCCTCAGAGATTCAAGAAAGACTCAGGGGAACTGCTATTTAGCATGATAGCTGGGCTAACAGATGAGAGGAATTAAAGCACAAAAGGCTTAATAGGGTTTACTTCAAAGCCTAATATCTGATGACAAGCAGGTCTTGAGTTAAAAGAAAATCCTATTGCATCTTAGTGAGGCTTAATAGGGTTTACTTCCAAGCCTAATGTTTGATGACAAGCAGGTCTTGAGTTAGTTAAAAGAAAATCCTATTGCATCTTAGTAAAATGTTTTTAAACCTAACAGAATAATGTGTGTTAAAATAATAATTCACAGATTTGAAGAAGTCTAGTTCTTGCTCTTCAATATTTAATCTGTTTAGTAGAACACTTAAAGTAAAATGTTACAGTATACCGTATTCTACGTGAATCCCAGCAAGTTACAAGATACAAAGGATAGGATATAGGACATCGGTGCAATAGATGAGCTAGATTTTCCTAAGCAGTAATGGTTTCTGGAACCATTCAAAGTCACAGGCATTTTCTCCCCATTCGGTAATGGTAGAAAGGAAAGAGCACACATGTATTTAAGCAAGAACCTAGCTATAGCTTCCATTCTGATTTAATTGTTCCTGTTTCATGGCGCATAAGGTGGTGGCAAAGGACTGGCAGAAATCTTGTCGTAGGCTGGTGGAGCATCAGGCACCTGTGTTAACAAAAGTGTGGTGGTAGAAACATTAAATCTATCCACAGAAATATCAGAAGTACTTAAGTAATAAAATACTTAAGCTAGTATATAAAATGCTTCTCAGAGGATTTCCCGTCAGTATTTTAAGCAAACATTCTTATGTTTTAACTTGCATTTTGGTTTTAACATTAGATCCTACATTCCTCCGCATATTCGCTTGATCACAAGTACCACTTAGTCTGTGACTCATTCCCATTTACTTGTCCATAGAACTGCAGTCTTTGTTCAGTTGGTCAGGATTGATGTTTGTCCAAAAAGCCACAAGCAAAAGATTCATGCAACTGATGAATTGAGCTCTAGCTCATGAACGCTTATGCCACAATGCAATTCTCAGTCTTTATTTTGTTATTTTGGTACCCCACTCTTTGTAATTAATCAAAAGAGGCACTCACTCTGCAGTCAGACTAATGCCCAATGCTCATAAATGCTTCAGCATTAATTACAAAATACTGTTTAGATAGGACAACCTTTTATTATTATACAGTATGTAAAATCAAGTGCCTCAGAGTAGTTTAAAGCAGTCTGTGCATCAAGGCACTGCTGAACCCTTCCCCAGCTTCCCAGTTCACTGGTAATTTCAAACTGACATCCCCACTAAGAGAAAAATAGCTGAGGAGAGGCAAGTTTTTGTATTGTAAATTGCAACTACCCAATGATTTATAACTACTGATGGCTATGGGTAAGTTCCCCCAGTGGGGCTGCTTCAGGTTGGGAATGGGTTTAAGCCAGTTTGGTGTAGTGGTTAAGTGTGCGGACTCTAATCTGAGAGAACTGGGTTTGATTCCCCACTCCTCCACTTGCATCTGCTGATGTGACCTTGGGTCAGTCACAAGCTCTGGCACAGCTGTTCCTGAAAGAGCAGCTTCTGTCAGAGCTCTCTCAGCCCCACCCACCTCACAGGGTGTCTGTTGTGGGGAGGGGGAAGGGAAAGGAGTTTGTAAGCCGCTCTGAGACTCCCTTGGGTAGTTAAGGGTGGGGTATAAATCCAATCTCCTCTTCTTTTTCTTCTTAAGGCTTAAGCCCTTGCTTCTCTCCATGTGTCACAGTCCCAATCTGAATTGGACCCATGTGCACCTGTGATCTGAGTTCCTATCATGGAACTTCGAGTTCCAGTGCATGTCTGCCCTGTGGATTTTGTAATACGTGAATCTGCCCTAAGGGTAAAGGGGGTGGAGGGGGTGGAAAGTGTCATCAAGTTGCAGCCTACTTATGGCAACCCTGTAGGATTTTCAAGGCAAGAGGTTATCAGAGATGGTTTGTCATTGCCTGCCTCTGCGTAGTGACCCTAGACTTCCTCTGCAGTCTCCTGTCAAAGTACTAATCAGGGCCCAACCCTACTTAGCTTCTGAGAGCCAATGAGATCGGGTTATTCTGGGCCATCCAGGTCAGGGCATAGGGTAGGGTATATTTGTCAAATTGCATACCTAAAAGCTTTAAACTGGAATAGTTTTCACTTCATACAATTTAAGCAACATTTTGTTGCAGTTTATAAACTACATAAAATGGCTTGGATCTGGTTTGAAGAACTTGCTGAATGAAAAGCAAGGTGCCAAGAACATTTTTCAACTCATAACTACAGGAGATGTTTGTATCTGAACATGCTGCATGAAAGATGTTCAGGTCATGCACACACAAACTGAATCAATTCTTGACACCAGTGCTACAGAGACAAACAGGCTTTATTTTGTCAGCCTTTCCCTTTGCCCTCTTTCCTCCAAAACCACTGGAGAAAATGCTTTCTGAAACACATGAGCACACATGTATCCCAAATTCTAGTTGCTTACTGAAATGGTTGAGGGATAAAACTGTTTAAAATGGTATTTGTTCTCAGGCTATTATGTAAGGCTTTATTAGCTTTAATGAGACACATTAATCTTACCACATGGTTGAAGTTGGTGGTGTATTCTTGTAAGGGGAATCTGGAGCCCAGCAAAGCACTTTTGCCTTCTGAAGTCTTCATGGTGGCCCCTCCAAAACTCTTGCTCTTTGGTAAAATGAAAAGAGGGGAGGGGAGGGGAGGGGAGAGAAATCCCTGAGTGCAAGAGAAATTAGGTTATGGCAGTAAGGAATGAGCTGTCTGTGAGTGTGTTCACAGGTGAAGTTTAAATCTGTGCTTATGATTGTGCTTACCATTTTCTGTAATGGTGCTATAAAAAGTACATTGACTAGAAAATACTTTCAATTACTCTTCTACACAATATCCTGCTTTAACAACATTCCCACATGGCAGAAATATGCCTTCTGAAATTGTGTCTACAATCAGGGTTCCCCTTGCTCTGACATGGTACTGTGTATATGGTTTCCCCTCTACATTCACACAAAACACTCATCATAAGGGGTGGGGGTTCTCGTATGTAGTAGTTTGTATACTCTCCGGTCGTCCTGGGAGTGGGGCAGTCCTTACTCTTGGGAATAGGCTCCTCCTCTGGAACAGGGTCGGTTTCCTCAGATCAATCTAGGAAGGGGAGGGGCCTGTCCCCTGGGAACATCCCAGTCTTACCGGCCCTGCCGCTTGAGCAGGACGTGTTTCACAGGTACTCTGTAGAGTGCAGCAATCCAGGAATGAGAAGAAGAGAGGGAGGAAGGAGAGACCCTTACTCTTCATTATTTTGAGCTGCAGTCGGTGGCTGCAAATGAAGCCGATGGCACTGGGAGAATCCCCAGCAGCCAAGGCTGTGTACGCTAAGTCCCACCGGGCCCAGCCTGTGGCTGGAGGTCGCCTCCCCAACCAATGCACATCAGGGGAAGCAGTTGAGTCTGCAAGGAGACCAGGGCGGCGCTGCCGTCCCAGCAAACTCCCTGGTCTCAGAGGACCTGGTGTGTGGTGGAACAGAGAAGCCGGGAGTCTCTAGCCCGCACTTAGCAAGTCAGATCTATTCAGATCATAAGCTTCACAGTCCCTGCAAGACTCTTTGGAGAACCAGGAAACAGAGGCAGCAAGGATAGCTCAGGATAGCCTGAGCTCATCAAATAAGCACAGTCAGCCCTGGTCCGTATTTGGATGGGAGACCACCAAACAATGTCAGAGGCATGGGACAGAGGCAGGGAAGGCCAACTATCTCTGAACATCTCCTGCTTGAAAAGCCCAAGGGGTCACCATAAGTGGGCTGTGACTTGATGGCTGCAAAAAGTCCAGAAAGGACTCAGACTCCCCAGTTCCATCCTCAGATAGGGTAGAATGGGAATGGTCAGAGGAAGGAGTGGGAGTAGTACAGTCCTGACTATTCCCTCAAGAGCTGTACTTGAGATTCCTCTCCAAGGACTTAGAATTTCCTTCAGACTTAAGGGAAATGATGATTTTGACCCAGAACTTCTGGTGGAATCTGGCCAGGTGATGTACAAACTGGCAGTACCACAAGCAGTGATGCCAGCCCAGACCACGCTTGTCAGATCTCAGAAGTTAAGCAGGGTCAGTCCTGGTTAGTACTTGGATGGGAGACAACCAAGGAAATCCAGGGTTGCTAGGCTGAGGCAGGCAATGGCAAGCCTCTAACTGTCCACAGCCTTTTATAGCTAAAAACCTAACCATCAGATTTCCCCCCCAAGCTTTATTCCCTGATACCAGAGGCTACCAAGAGACTCAAGTTGCCAATGGTGGATGAACCTGGGACTAACTTGACCTCCAACTCAGTTCTCCCTATGGATGCAGATAGGTTGCCCAAGACCCAGCGATAGGGGATTTCAGCAAGCCTTATGCAAAGACTTCGAAGTCTCAGCCTGCTCCATCGGGATGTCAACAGCAGGCTCGGTGTTTGCCAGGGTGGTACATTCTTGGGCACCGAGACTAGCCTCAGCTCATAGTGGTGTCCCACAAGAACTTAGTTACCTAGAGCCATATCATGCAGTGTAGCAGCCAGAAGGAACATGTGGCTCAGAATTGGGATGGGGACTCTGCAGCACAAGCTAAAACAGTTCCCTTCAGGGCATAAACCTTTTTGGAGAGGGACTTGACAGATATCTTTATTGAAAATAAAGACGCGTTCTACATTAAAAAAAACCAAAACAAACAAAAAACCTGTCCTGTTGTGAATCCAAAAGGATATCATGCCCAGAGCCAAAGAAGAATAAGGATGCCAGGAAAATCTTGGACCTGAAATGGCTAAACAATTGCATCAGGACTAGAACGTTCAGGATGAAAAGGCTGAACTCCATTCTGGCAGATGTTCAAGCAAAGGATATCCTGGCATCCATCAATCTATAGGAGGACCATTTACACATCCCAATTCAAGAGGCTCACTGCAGATTCCTACGCTTTGCATATGATGGGAAGCACTTCAGTACTAGTGTTGCCTTTCTGCCTGAAGTCATTCCCAAGAGGGTTCAACAAGTTTATGGTGGCCATTGTAATATATCTGAGACTTCAGGGAGTGTTGCTGTCACCATCTCTAGAAGACATCCTTGTCAAAGCCCTTCTTACCAGCAGAGTGGGGAAGCATCAGAGATGGTGGTGATTTTCGCCTCTCAATAGGCACTTGGGAGAGATAATACAACATACAACTTTTGACCATAGACAGGCTGAAAAAATGCAAGATAGAGGGTATGGTACTGGCCAAGCTACTGAGCATAGTGGTGTCAAGCCATGAAGTGTTTCAGTGGTCAAGGTTCCATGCTGGACCTCTACAGACATTTTCCCTTACCTTACCAGAATGTGGTGGCCAGTTAGGGCAACAAGCTGGTACAGTTGCCAAAACAACTTCAGCATCAGTGCAGTGGTAGCTAGAACCCTTTTTGTTTCCAATGGGGATCCCCGATCTGAAATCTAGAAAGGATGGTGATGACCACAGACACAAGTCTGCCAGGGTGGAGAACCGACTCTCAAGGGTCAGTGACACAAGGGGTTTGGTCTCAGGAAGAGACCTCACTGAGTATAAAATTTTTAGAACTCAGAGCCACCAGGCTGGGGCTCTTGGAATTCTACAAGATACTAACAGGTCAGCACATTCTAGTACAGACAGACAATATGACAACAAAAGCATAAGGAACCAGATTTGGACCTTACACACAGAAGTGAGCTACCTGGTCTGATGGGTGGAGATCCAGCTACAGTCATTGGAGGTGGTCCATGTGGCAAGCCAGGACAGTGCATTGATGGACTGGCTGAGTATATATGATTAGACCAGTCCGTATGGATGCTCTGCAAGTTGGGTTTTCAACAGGTCTGCATAAGGTACAGGATGATGGAAATGGATCTCTTTATCACAGACCAGAACCATCAATTTCCCCGTTTCATGTTCAGAGTTGAAAACCAGCGGGCAACAGGAACAAATGTTCTGAACTGTGACTGACCACAGGAATGACTGTACATGTTCCAGCTGACTTAATTGTTTCACAAGGTGATTCAGAAGCTGTTGGAACAGAAGGCGGAACTGGAGTTGATACCATGCTTTTGGCCACCAAGAGCTTAATTCCAGGATCAGAAGAGATTGTTGACCATGGACCCGTGGTGCCTACCACTGGAAAAGGACTTATTGACACTAGGATCGGCACAACATCTTCTCCCACCCCTCCAAAACCTAACAGCCTGGAGGTCGAGTGGAAACAGCTAGAAGAGTTGATTTACCCTGACAGGGTGACAGACACCGTATTAGTTTTCTAGGAAGAGCTCCACAATAGGGTGTATAACACAACCTGGTGGGTCCTTCACTCTTGGTGTTCAGAACATGATTGGGAACTATTAAATGCATCAGTTAGAGGCATCTTAGATTTCTCCAAGATGGTTTGGATAGAGAGCTTAACGTGAGTACATTAAAGTGACAGGTGGCAGCCATATTGGCAGTGAGGGGGGCTAGGAAGGGAAGTCCCTTCAATTGCCATCCATACGTTAAGAGATTCCTAAATGGTTCTACATGGTCAAAACCGCCACAAGTGCAGAGGTTTCTAACTTGGAATCTACATAGGGTCCTGAGAGCATTGTGTAGAAAACCTTTGAACCCATGGAGTCTCAAGGAATTAACATTCAAGACCTTGTTTTTAGCAGACATAATATCAACTAGGCAGGTGTCCGAACTGAGGACCCTGTCAGTTGACAGGGAACTTCATGTCTTCCACAATGATAGGGTGCTGTTACGTTCGGATCAAGCCTTCGTTCCCAAGGTTAATCCAGTTCCTTCGCAAGTCAGAGATCATTGTCTTACCTTCCTTTGTCCCAATCATAGGCATGACAAGGAAAGTGAATGGCATTGCCTAGGTATTCAGTTTTTACGTTGACAAGCCAAGTAGTGGCATGATTCAGATACCCTATTTGTTTCCTTTAGGATATTTTCCTTAGGTCAACTGGTATTGCCTTTTACCTTGAGTAAGCGGTTTTAGGGGTGACATCATTGTTGCATGCAAGGCTCAGGGGCTGAATCCACTCAAAAGTGTTGCAGCATATTCTCTGTGGGAGTCTGCTACGTCAACAGCTTGCAGATCATTTCTCATCCTTGGAGACGGTAGGTACGGTGGCCATCTGGAAGTCTGTGCACTCTATAGAGTAAAGTGCTATAGAGTAGAGAAGCTGACCTTGGCTGTGGCGGCCTTTCTTTGGGGTGTGCTGCAGCACACGCTATAACCAGAAGCTGGGTTTCCCACCCAGGGGCACACTGCTATTTTATGATCCAAGAGTAAGGACTGCCCCACTCCCAGGACCACCGGAGAATGGAAGATTTGTATTCAGTTACCGTGAAGCTTCCTTCTCAGTGGTCCAGGAGTGGGGCAGTCCTACCCACCCAGTTTTGGGGGGCAGCTTCTGGAGGTTATTCTGGAGGAACATTTATGAAGTTTCTCTGAGACACTAAAACAAAAAATTGTGAGTTAATTGAGTGAGAGAGCAACAGAAGGTTTCAACCTTGGTCTACACCCACTGGAGGGGCATAAAATTACAAGGCTGGTTTCCCCAAAAACTGAGTTTCACTATGGTGGGGAGAAGTGTTTTTTCTTTTCCTTAGTGTGATGTTAGGGGATGCACGGCTTGGAGACGACTGGGATGTTCCCAGGGGACAGGCCCCTGGATTGATCTGAGGAAACCGACCCTGTTCCAGAGGAGGAGCCTATTCCCAAGAGTAAGGACTGCCCCACTCCCAGGACCACTGAGAAGGAAGCTTCACAGTAAGTGAATACAAATCTTCCATTCTCTAGCTGCATGACTGACCATAGGGTTTGGTACTCTATGTCCAAGCTCAACTCTGAAACATCAAACTCAAGAGCAGGTTGAAGTACCCCTGAACAAGTACAGAGTGCATTTATTTCATGATTAAGTAACTGGGGAGCAATGCTCCCCCTAAGCCGTGGAGTCTTGTGAGAAAAAATTCTACTTTGTGAGCTACTGGCATTAAAGTTGTGAGCGAGCGATTTGGCTACTGCATAAATTAGTTTGCTCTGGAGCCACCCATCCTGAGTGAAGACAAAAATGTGTGAGCCGGAGGCTAAAAAACTGTGCGCTAGCTCACACTGACTCAGCTTAGAGGGAACACTGCTGGGGAGTATCTTCATACATCAGGGGCTCTGGGCAGACATGGGTCCCAGCATTTTCTTGAAATTAAGCACTAGCTGAACTATGGAGACCTATGTATCACATGTGTATGTGCTTGAAAGCCAATGTAATTATAATGGGAGAGGAGGACGAGAGACCTGGGTTCAAAATCCCCATTCAGCTACATGGGTCATTGGGAGAGCTTGGGCCAGTCACTCTCGGCCTATCTAACGGTGGGTGAGGATACGCTGAATAAAAATTTGACTGAAACTGGACACAGTTACAGTAGGGATAAATGCAATCCTCAGCAGTAGGAGGCTACCCATAATCCTTACCAGAAGGCTTTTATAACCACTGCGCCTTTTGTAATACCAACAGCCAAGAATCAGTAAAGCGCCAAGAACCACAATGAGAATTCCAATGCCTGCAACCCTGTTGCAACAGAAAAATAAGATTATACATGAGCAAGGGCACAGAACACCTGTTTCAATTTCAGGTTGTGTATGTGAAGAAGGGATTTTGGTGTGCCCTATATGAAATGCCACTTTGCAAGACCCGGGGGGATGGCGTCCCCCCGCATCCCCCCCCCAAATGACCCCTGGTCAGCCTGTTCAGATAGTGAAACTCTGCATAATTCAAGACAGCTTTTATAATACGGAAAGCAATGAAGGAAACACATGGTCAAACCAGAAACAAAGAAGCAGTCTTGATCATTCCAAGCGGCACAATTGACACACTGCACAACCTTTTCACTGAAGAGAGATGATGAAATTATTGCATGCTGTCACAACTAGTGTAAAAGTTTTAGTGTAAAATATTTAACTTCATCCTGCAACCTACATGGTGCAGGTAGATGTTCTATGCATATCTGCACTCATCCAGGCTGGATGGAGCAGGTAAAGACAACTGAAGTTACACACAAATAATTGTCCATAGGGTTATGTTTTCATGCTGGTAGCCTTATCTATCAAACAGATATTGTTCATAAATATTCACTATAGAAGCTAGATAGACCCTATCTCTGATAACATCGTTGTCATATGCATTTATGACAGTTGGGACATCCTTAAATGTAAGCATAACCATTTGGCCACCTTTATCACCATGGCTCAAATGGTTAAGACGCTGAACTGCAGGCTCCCGTCTCTAGTTCCAGCTCCTGCCAACCTAGCAGTTCGAAAGCAAGAAATTGCAAGTAGATAAATAGGTACCACTTCAGTGGGAAGGTAACAGTGTTCCGTGCGCCTTGGTGTTTAGTCATGCCAGCCACATGACCACGGAAACATCTTCGGACAGCGCTGGCTCTTCGGCTTTGAAACAGAGATGAGCACCGCAACCCTAGAGTCGGATTCGACTGGTTTTCGAGCAAGGGAACATTTACCTTTATCACCATGAAAACCTAGGACTTCTTTCAGATTGTTCACCTGATATTGTTGTCTCCAAGCTCTTGTAGTCAAATCATATTTGACAGAGTGTGATGACCAGAAGGCAGCAATTGTGAGTCTGTACATGAATATGTCCTGCACGTAGACAACTAATTAGCTAAAAATTAACCCATAAGCAGCTCTAGAAGTAGTGTTTTGTTTTGAATTCTATACAATTTAGGTGCAAACATCAAAATCAATAATGGAAAATAGTTTTTAATGACTTACTTGTCTATGCACCAAACATATTTGGTTATTACAGTGTAATTCTAAACAGAGTTACCCCCTTTTATGCCTATTTGTGTCTATGGGCTTAGCTGGATATAATCTATCTAGGACTGCACTGTAAACCTTCCAAAAGTGTTAATGTTTCCAAGGGCTTGGTTTAGGAGTAATTAATATCAACTAAACCTACCTGAAAGAAAGTATAGATCCCTACTTTAGGTAAGTCTAAAATTAGCCATTCGAAGAGGATGTCCATAATGCCATAGGTGATAAACTGTGAAAATAATGCTTTCATTGATAGGATCTGTCTATCCCATGCAGCTAAGATTCTTCAGGAAAACACTTGAATAACTCAAGTCTGATGGGAACTGGTGATCACTGTGAATCAGTCTGTCCTACATAACAAAGGGAATGTTAATGGCCTGTATTTGCATCCAAATGGTTCTTTCTGATTACATAGCCATCAGGACTGGAGGTGATGACCCTCTTCCTGCTAGCTGAAAGTGGGAGCCAGGTGTCTGTGGGTCTGTGTGAAAGCAGCATTTGGCTTGGACTAGAAGCAAGACAACAAAGCAAAAGCCATTGCTGGGAGAGTGATCTAAAGCAGGGGTGTCAAACACAAGCCTGGGGGCCAGAACCGGCCCATCCAAGGCTCTTAACCAGACCACGAGCAACTGGTACAAGAGAGAGGAGGCTGCTCAGGGGGGTGAGTGGGCGGAGCAACCTTGTCTGCAGCAGTCAAACAGAACCCCTTTGCTTCAGTGGCAGCCTCAGTGGTAAGGTGAGAGCCACCACAGCCACATTCATGTGTTTTAAGATAAGGTCACATGTGTTTTAAGATAAGGTCACATGCCTCTCTACTCAGCCTGCAGCTCCGGGGATGCTATCCCGGATGGCTGTGGGGATTGGAACTTGCACATGGGGGGTACAGGCAATCCTCTGCTGGGGCCTGCTGGCGGCCAGTGCCACTGTTGTATTTGTGCCCCCCTGTGTGGCAGCTGTGCTTTGCCTCATGGAGGGCAGTTCTTCTGCAGTTTCTTCCACATATCGGGGGCCTAGTCCTGCCACTAAGCATGCAACTTGGTGGCTGAACCTCCCTCCTCCATGGACAACCCAGTGGCCTTCAGCCCTAGGTGCCTGCCATCTTGTGGGGGGGCACTGCCAGTGATCTCCAGTTATACTGGTTGCTGGGTGACCTGGGGCCTCTGCCACATGCACGGCCTTGTGCACATGGTGCCTGCTCCCCCATCAGATGATCCAGCGACCTTCAGCCTGGGACGGTTTGCTGATGATCTCTGGCTTGAACACCCAGCATTGCCCCACCATGGATCGCCAGGAAGACTTGGCCAGAGGTGGGCGCTGCTGTACAGGCATCTCCAGCTTATTGGGCTTTACTTGGGTCCTGCCCTGCATGTGGGCTTGGACCTGGGATGCTCCCTGCCCACCGCCCCACCGCTTCCCACTTGTCTTCCCAGACCCCTTCTATGATGGCTCAGGGGCAGGGAGAACTCGCAGCACCCAGCTGCTTCATGTTTTTACCCTGGGGCACGGGCTCACAACATTGGTGGTGGGAGTGGGCTGGGGAAGGGGTTTGCCCCCCTCCAGGCAGTGCCCATGGGCCCTTGCAGTGAAGATGCTGTCCTTTATCAAATTTATATCTCCAGTACCTAGCGTTATGTTTTATGGCACACATGGCCCGGCTCCACAGTGACATTTATGTCTGATCCAGCCCTTATAACAAATGAGTTCGACCCCTCTGATCTAAAGCTTTAAGTGCTTTCTTTCTGTCTGGGGATGTGATTTAGGGTAACAGGGAGAGTACTCTTTACTTCTACCTGTGCCCCATCTGTATTTTTGTAAATAAAATAAATACTGCAAAGAGATCACGAGTCTCTGGAATTCTTTCTTAAAATGAACCAACAACCCAAATAAGTGTTGGAACTTCTAACTGTTCCAAGAAGCAGGGCATGCATATAATACACCCCCACGCAGGTTTACGCACAAAGCTAAACCATTTTAAATGGCTAAGAGATTCCCACATGCTCACGTAATCAGACCAGAACAAAGAAATGCCCCCTCATTCCTATCCATTTCACCTCCCCTCCACTCCTATGGGCTTGCCCACGCCTCTCCTTCATAGCTTTCTTCCCTATCCTCAGTGGCACCTGATTCTGCTTTCTTTACCACCACCACCCGACCATGAGAGTCCACCTGGGCCCATCCCAGCAAGGTATCTTCATCATGACTGTTGAAGCCCCCTAGAACAATCAGTCTAGGAGTCTCCAGCATCACATCCAACAGTACCTCTGCCAACTTATAGAGGGTGCCCACTAGGGAACTAGGTGGCCTGTTGACAAAAAGAATGTGTAATTTATCCTTAGTTCCTAATGTAAGGAGCATACAGTCAACTCTACTGTAGTTTGCACTGGATGTATACAGAAGCTGAAGGACTCATAGAGCATAACAGCCAATCCTTCTTCCCAGCCAACTGTGCGGGATTGGTGGAGGATGATGTATCCAGGCAGTTAGGACAGACACACAATGTCATTTTCTTCCAACCATGTTTCTGTTATGCAAGCCAGGTCAATTTCTTCTTCCTGCAACATCTCATAGAGGTAGATCCAGGTGGGTAGCCATGTTGGTCTGAAGCAGCAGAACAAAGTTTGAGTCCAGTGGCACCTTTAGGACCAACAAAGTTTTATTCAAGGTATATAAGCTTTCGTTTGCAAGCACAATTCTTTAGATACAGTCATGCACACGGAAGCTTATACCCAGAATTAAGCTTTGTTGGTCTTAAAGGTGCCCCTGGACTTAAACTTTTTTCTGTTGTATCTTGAGTTTCAGTTAAGTGACCTGTACACTTAAACATGGTGTAAGATGGAGAAAAGCACATCTCATGGTTAAAAAGATACATATTTGTAAGTGAACCAGAATTTGTGTTCCTTAAATAGAAGTTATTCTTACTCTTCAGCTGAAAGATAGGTGTACCCTTTCCCTCTGCCAAAGTTGCCATCTAGGTAATGCTGTCCCCTGGGCATCTTGTTCAGTCCAGTTCACTCCTATAAAATGAACAGAATTATGGCCATTCTGTACAATGCAATCCCACAGCATTCTCTGGTTCCCTCCCTCCAGTGTGTCTGCCTTTTAGTCCTTGCTGAACTGTACACCAGGAAATGCCTTCCAGCTCGCAATGCTACTGCTCTTGCTTCACTCATGTCCACCTTTTCTGTGAAGCATTTGGCACAACCCCTTACTCACTATTCCTTTCTGAAACTAAGCCTAAATATGTGTAACTGAAATGAATGCATGATTTTTTAACATTTATCCCTGTCTTCCTTCCCTTGATTATCTTCCTTGTCATAGATTTTTAGAATATGAACACATCAGGCCAGAAGCCTGTCTCCTTGTGCTCTATAAGATGTCATGCATTTTGATAGTGCCCTGTAAACAATCTGATATATATAAAAGCCTTAACGTATCGGCGGTTTCCAGCTCTCCCATTCGTTGTGCTGTGCGCTTCATCACCCATTGGCCTGTCACCCGCTACTACATGCCATTGGCTGAGTGCTGGGTCCACTCCTCTCGCCTACACACTGCCAGCTTGGCCACTCTTCCCTGTCAGAAGAAACTGCCAAAATGGCTGTCTCTTTTGACAAAGATGCTTCTCCTGCTTGGCCACTCTGCAGTTGGCTGGCTACTGAGGTGGGCCACCGGCCATCAAACCATTCTCTTCTCCTCCTGCTGTGGGGCTCACTTTCCCCTCAGTGGCTGTTGCTAGGCAACCAAGCTTGGTTCTCTCAGTAAAAAGGCAAATGCAGGAGGCCTTTCCAGGCCTACTTTGGCCTTTGTGGGGAACTCATTGGGACCAGTCCTGACTAGGCTTGCCAACTCCAGGTCAGGAAATTCCTGGAGATTTTGTAGTGGAATCTATGGAAGCCAGAGTTTGGGGAGGGAAGAGGCCTCAGCTGAATAGAATGCCATAGACTCCACCATCCAAACCAGCTATTTCCTCCTGGGGAACCATTGTTGCCGATCTCCAGGTGAGGGCTGGAGATCACTCAGAAATACAACTACTCTTCAGATGGCAGAGATCAGGGACTTCTGGCGGTGCGGCGCTGCGCTACGGGTGCGTTTCTCGGGAGCTCCTGAGACGCCCAGCTTGTGTGCGCTCTTTTCGGAGCCCCCAGAGCTGTGGGGTGGCTCCGCTTGGTTCTCCTGGAGGGAGACCAAGGGCAGGAGGTTTTACCGGCCCCCCCGTTTCCTTGACAAGGGCGGGGGTGAGACCGGCGTATCTCGAAGCGGGAGCGCCATGAAGAACGGGAATATAGTCGCCATGTTCCCGCCAAGCAGCTGCCAGCCGTGTTTTTAAACTCTCAATGTTATTTGTTGCACGGGTGCATCACAACGGTGAGCTAGCTACAGATCGTCCCCCTTTGGATATATGGTGGGAGAATGACGATAAAGACCCCCAGTGAGTATTCCCTGACTTTTAGAGAAGCGGCCGCGAAAAGTTAAAGGGACGTGAGCGAGATGAAAGTGACAGGGGGGAGTCTATCGCCTTTGCCTCTGCTTTACTATAAACATTATCAATTCCACTAAAGAAACATACGGACCGTGGAGAGTTTTGTTGGTATTGAAAATAAAGGAAATATATCGGGATTGGACTAATAGAAAGTGACTGTGAAAAAGGGAAATGGTGGCGGAGGAAGCAACCGAGGGCGCCGCCCAAGATATACTGCGCAGTGAACTTATGGCTGAGCAGTTTCAAAAAACTTTGATAAATATAGCGAGACAAGCGTGTGAAAAGGCTGTGAAACAAGCGTGCAAAGCAGCATGCGAGAATTTTTTCAGAAACTACTCAGGTGTAAAGGTAGAGGAGAAGGGCAGAGGAGAACAAAGGCAAGGAACACAAAGGCGGGCTGAAGCCCAGGAAGTGGAACAAGAGAGTGAGACTTATAATACCCAACTTATGGGCAAAGAAAGAGAACCCCAAGAGGTGGACACCCGGGAGTATATATCGGAGAACCAAAATATGCTCAGAACACAAAAAGGGGAAAAGGGCTTGCTGGAACTTACTGCCAGGAAAAAGATGAGGACAGTAAAAAGGAAAAAAAACAAGGAACAGTGTGATGAGGCTTAAAAGTCCCAAATACCTGAACAGGACTGTAAAGGAATCTGAACAAAGGAAGGCTGATGCAGATATCGGAGGTAATAGGTAAATGGGCCTAAGACTAGCTGGCAGTTTAAGGTAATCTGAGTTGATCTTGATTTGAAATTTGTTTTTGAGTGAGGAATGACAAGGGATAACTGAGTAAGGATAATGAACTGAGATGGCAGTAGAGGTGATTGGAGAAGGGTGATTTGTAGGTTTTGTGGGAATATGATTTCGTTTGATATTTTTGTATTTGGTTGCCACTTATATAAGCTATTTTTTGAAAATGATTAAATATTAGATTTAATCAGTAGGCTATACAAATTAACTCAGTAAATCTAGGATTGTTAGGTCTAAACTGAGGACACCACTGATATAGAAACCTAGAATTGAGATTATAAGTGGTGTTTTCTGGAATTTTTAGGTATTGTGGAGGAATAATATCAATCAGAGATACTAGATTAAATACTTTGTGAGTACAAGGGGGGAAAGTTATTGTTTAGCTAATAGTTTGCTCAAGCTGATGTCTTAAATAGAGATGAGGTTTCGTGTTTGTCATTGTTATGTATGTATGTTTGTCTCTTATTGTAAAACGCAATAAAAAACCTATTAAAAAAAAAGATGGCAGAGATCAGTTCCCCTGGAGAAAACTGGGGACTCTGTGTCATTATACCCTGCTGAGGTCACCACAGCAAATTGACACTGAGTGCCCAAGGCTAGGGCACCCGCCCAAAGCCTCTTTCTAGAGACCTTTGTATTTATTTCCGCAACGGGCTTCTTGATCCACAATCTCATGAGTTGGTAACACAAAATACTGTGACTGGTGTGGTTGGTAACACAAAATACTGTGGCTGGTGAAGTAAGCTCTGAATCACAAAAGTTTATACTGCCATCAGTTTTGTTAGTCTTTAGTTTTGTTTACAAATACTCTGTTAATGAAGAGAAGGGCATACTGTGGCAGTCTTACAAGTGGTGAAGTCTTCTGTGGTATTAACCTAATAGGACAGAAGATGACTTGGTAAGATTGCTATACAGCTCTTGGAATAGGAATTCTGTAGAGCTATAGTGATATTTTGTTGGATTGTACTGTAAATAACACTACTAAGATGCTTTAACCAGTGGGAAAAGTGAGATCTGGGTTGGGAAATATCTGGAGATTTTGGGAGTGGAGTCTGAGGATGGTGGGGTTTAGGGAGGGAAGGGACTTCAATGGTGTATAATGCCATAGAGTCCACCTTCCAAAGTGGCCATTTTCTCCAGGTGAACCGATTTCTGTTCCCTGGAAATTAGCTGTAATCCAAGGAGATCTCCTGCCACTACCTGGAGGTTGTGAGCTTCAGTGATGATCTGGCATAAGAGATAATCCTTCAAAATGTTGGGCCAACTGACAATGATTCCTGTGGACCTCTAAATGCCAAAATAATCCATTTCTTTATTAAAATGTTTGTTGCCTGCCCTGACCTGGATAGCCCGGGCAAGCCCAATCCTCGGAAGCTAAACAGGGTCGACTCTGTCAAGTACTTGGATGGGAGACCTGCTTGAAATACCAGAGGCAGGAGGCGGGGGTAGGCTTTATTCAGCCACATCTCTGAATATCCTCCAGACCCCCAGTTGGGGTCAGTCACCAGAGGTCGCCATGACTTCCTCGTGCACACACAGTCCATCACCAGAGGTTGTTATGACTTCCAGGTGCACACACACACACATGCACTTATAAAAATACCAAAAAAAACCCAAAAAATGTTTTTTGCCTTTCAGCTTCAGATTAAAAAAACAAACTATACTTATTCAATTTATATACAGCTTGAAAAAAAATTACGGTGTGTGTGTGTGTGTGTGTATAGTATGTGGTAGAAATCGGCTCATCTTTTTCTTCATGTGATTCCTTTGCACCCTTGCTCTCTACTTTGAGGAGAATATTTTAAAATTGGATGGATCTGCTACAGATATGAACATAGATGATTGGTGGTCCATAAAATACAGCCAAAACAGCAGTTCTATCTGGCCCTTAAGACATGTAACACTGTGGTTTTTAAAAAAATATCTGACAATTTCATTTAGAAAGAAAAGAGGAAAGTGGTTTCATGTTGTAAGACACAGTCCACATGATAACCTTGCATTTTACTTTTCAAATTTGTAGACTCTCTTTCCACTTTTATATATAAAGCTATACCCAGCTGTATGTTCTCCATAACTACTTCCTCATAAGAATTGTGTTCTAGATGGCACCAGCTTCATCACTCATGAGAGGGGTCAGTTTGTACACAACATAAAATACAAATTTAAATAAACTCCTAGCCCCTAGAACACTTTCTGAGTAATAGGGGCCCCAAAGAATATAGAACTTGTCCATTCCTGATTTAGAAAAAAGATACATTAGAACACAATGTGATTTTAAAAAATTAAATATCTACGCTTTCCCACAAACAGCAGGTTTGCACAAGCTATTTCTATTGCCTTCCCCCAGGAGCCTGCGGACTCATCAGGAAAGATTTTTCTGAGGATCAGCGTATCCCCAAGGGGAACTTCACAAAGTTTGCTCCACTTTTTTGTGATTCTCACAGTGGCTTGGAGAGGAGCAGAGAAGTACCAGGGAAATAGGAAGGTAGTAAAAAATACTTCCATGAACTCACTCTGTATTCAAAGGTCTGGATCCAGCCCCATGAATATATTTCATTAAATGAATTTTAATTTGATGTGTATAATTTTACGAATGTGGCGAACCAAAATACTATTTTCTTTTAATTAAGCTGATTGAATCTACATCCTCTGCATTCATGTTGCGCTGTGTTTGTGCTTTTCCTAATGTCATACTTAAAGCTTTCTGATGGATTTGTGCCGTTCCCATTTGCTTAAGTGCCAGAGCGAAATTAAACTATCCAAGCCAAATCAAATTAAATGCCTTAATCTAGTTTATACACTCAGGCCCTTGGGAAAATACACAAATAAACACTTTGGCTGCAATCCTACCTGCAGTTGTGCTGCTGAAATCTCACTACAAAATACGGGATTTAAACGTTTTAGCAGTGTGCAGGATTGCAATGACTTGTTTCCACTAAGTAGCATTTTACTGTGAACCAAAATAACCGACTCACAATAATAAAAACATTCCATATTTTGAAGGCATCGTAGCTTAAGAAATGTAGTTTATATTTTCTAGAGATCGAACTCCCTTTCCAAAACATACTGTGGAAAGTACAAAGTGAAGATTGAGAGAGATAAACATACCTTCCTCACAGATCCAGACTGCTTGAGCACTGAAGGCGTTACCAGATATTCCCCCCCTCTTTTTTTCTTTTTCTTTTTTACTTTTTCCTCCATAGGACTAGCTCTCATGACTATCACGAGTTAGAATGCCTACTGCTGGTGTAGCTTTTGATCACTCTAATTAGCATGAACAAATAAAACTTCTGCTCTTTCTGTTTGTACTAATTTCCTCCATAATCCTGCCACTCTTTGCACATAGCTAGAAGAGGTAGCTACTGAATGTTCAGGTCCTCCTGGAACAAATGGACACATAACTGCATTGGATATTTCTAACTTATTTATGCAAACAGTGAGCTTTCTAAAGCTAAATACCAAAAAGCAAGGCATTCCATTAATCCACCATGTTATCAATTTCACGTCTCTTAGTGAAATTGACTGCATAACTTCTTAAAGGCTTTATCCTGCACAGCCAGGTGTCTAGCCTATACCTTACAGTTTTGTGTTCAAAAAGTAGTCAGGCTTATTAACTGATAAGAGATGGGATCACAAGATTAAAAGAGCGCATGATCTATGTTATCACACCGTATGGAACTCAAAATCTTAAATCATTATCCAGTGAAACAAGAACCCATACAAGAATGCCTGTCTTGAGAACTTGAGCATTTCTCCATTTTAAACTAATATTTCAGTTATACTGCTCAGTTATACTTGAGCATTTCTTTATTTTTAAACTAATATTTCAGTTATACAATAATTGTCGGTATGAATAGAGGGAATAAAGCCTACATGGCAAACGAGGAAAATAAACCTTTGTGGCTAGGTCTTTTTAAAGAAAGGAAGAGAACTGTATTTATCTGAAACCATTATGCTTTTGAAACATATTGAAACCATTGTGCTATTATGCTTCTAAATAAACTCTGTTTATGTTTACTTATTCCCTGTCCCAGATAGCCCAGGCTAGCCCAGTCTTGTCAGATCTGGGAAGCTAAGCAAGGTCAGCCCTGGTCAGTATTTGGATGGGAGATCACCTACGCACACCAGGGTTGCAACACAGAGCCAGGCAATGGCAAATCACCTCTGAACGTCTCTTGCCTCGAAAACCCCAGTGTCACCATAAGTGACTTGACAGCAAAAAAAGTTCAAGAGAAAACAGCTGTTTTATTTAGAGTACAGGATCCCCTTTTACCTCAGAGCCAACCCCTCGTGTTGAACATTCTGTCAGTCTAGCAAATATAACTAGCCCATCCTGTTCTTTGGGTTCAACTAAGAAGTCTAAGGCAAGAGCCTTCGGGAACACTAAGGAAGGCAAGGAGACAGCATAACACACGTCATCTCAGAACACTATGGAGAGGTGCCTTACTGCCATTACAGGTGTTACCTATAAGGGGTCTCAGAAAGAAGTAAAATGTGACAGAGTTGCACTCCCCCTAAAGGAGCAGGTTTGTAGCTTGGGGGTGTAGCTGGAACCAGGCCTCCTGTTGGATAAGCAGATGGCAGTGATGGCCAGAGTCACCTTCCACCATCTTTGGTTGGTGAGTCAGCTGTGGCCTTTCCTATGTAAAGAAGATCTTGCCACCATGGTGCCTGCCCTGGTAAGATCTAGATTACATTACAGCAATGCTCCCTATGTGGGGCTGCCCCTGAAAAGTGTCCAGAAACTACCATTGGTACAGATTACTGTGGCAATAATGCTACCTAGAATGGGTCATAAGGGTCATATCACTCCAGTTTCTTTGCATCTGCAACGGGATTCCAGTTTGCATTTGGGCACAATTCAAGGTGCTGGTATTGACTTTTAAAGCCTTGTATGGCATACCTTCAGGACTACCTGCTCCCATAGAAGCTCTGCTTCAGGTGCCCCCGTCATCTGATGTGAAATGGGTAGCGAAAGGGCCTTCTCAGTCATGGCACCAAAAATGTGGAATTTCCCTCACACACTCCCGGGAGATCCATCTGTCCCCCTCTATCATTGTCTTCTATCAGTGGGTGAGGACTTTTTTGTTTCATTTGGTATTCCCTTCGTGACTATCCTTCCTGTTTATGTTTGAATTGCTGTTCTAAAAAACCAACTGTTCAAATGGATTTTTAATATCTTTTTAACTGTTCACTGCTGGGACTGAATTGGATGGAAAGGTGGGGGGGGATAAATAAATATACATATACCTCAAAACCAGGATGTCATTGGAGGTTATAATGCTGTATTGCCTGTGGTATGGATTTGCTGTCACATGAAAGCAGGGTAACAACCCCATAGCAGATTGCCAGTGACCTGTTTGTGCATGGAGTTGTGAAAGTTGTTTTCCTGCATTGCTGTCCATTCCTGCAGCCCCTTCTGACTCCTGGAAAGATCATTCCTGGGGATGTGGGACCTATATGTTGGGAGGGGCGCTTTGGCATGTACCATTAAATTAGCATACATCTTTTTTAAAATACTCTTTTGATTAAAAATGTGCAAATGGAAGCAGCATGTAGAGGTAAGTTACCAGAGCAATAAAATAGTAAAAAGCCCAGTAGCACCTTTAAGACTAACAAACTTGATTGTAGCAAAAACTTTTGAGAAACACAGCTCTCTTCGTCAGATGCTACAATGAAGTTTGTAAGTCTTTGAAAAGTACTGAGACTTACTAGTGATTTCAGCTCTCATACTTTATTTCAGCTCAGAACAAGACGAGAGTACCCAGCTCGCGGGCTGGTTTATATGTGCACAAACCCCGCTCCCCAAACACACCCACACACAAGTGATTGGCTATTTACAGTGGCCGAGAGTTCCATAGGCTCTCAGCCAGGAGCCTAGCCTGCCGATAGGTGCCGGCTAGGATCCGCTTGTCCCATTGTTACTGAGAACGAAGCTCGGTCGCTTCGCCTGACCGCGTGGCGAAATGGCCGCGCACATGGTCTGATATGGATACATTATAGTCTTAAAGGTGCTACTGGGCTTCTTACTATTTTGCAGCAACAGACTAACACAGCTAACTCCTCTGGCTCTATGACCAGAGCAATAAACCATCTCTTACATTGTAGAGCATGGCCTGGCTTTGAATGGAAAAAAATAACTAGTCCTCAAAGTCAGTAGGAATCCCACTCATATATTCCTATCCTATGTCTGAAAACTATTCAGGTATATTTTCTTCACTTTCAGAAAGAAATGCATCACTGCTTAGAGAGGGGGTGCTGCATGAAGGAGTTCTTTGTCTGTGCCAGCAGCCCCACAGTCACAAATAATGCATGTGATGATAAATCCACTTCTTTTTTTTGCTCAGCCATAGGCTTTCTGAATATTCAAGATACTGGACGTCAAAGGTCTGTTATTCTTGTGGCAAGAAGGACAGAAGACATCTTTGTGAAAGTATTAACACAAGCTTTTAGAACAGGCAGTTACAGAAAACAGTAGGAAGAAAATAACTGAACCTTTTATAAATGAAACATGAATGGCTGGTCTTGGTGATGCTGGGCCAGAAAACAGGGCCTCAGTAGTTTATTTCACATACGGTACTTATATCCTGCCATTTCACCATTTAGGTCTTCAAGGTGGTTAACAACATCTTGATGACAAAATCTTGGTAAAACCTTCATAGGAAGGATCTTAATAAACGACATTTGAGGCAGAAAACCAGGTCTTCTCCTGCCAGTGCTAGGGATGCCAGCCTCCAGGTGGGACCTGGGGATCCCCTGGAATTACAGCTCATCTCCAGACTACAGAGATGAGTTCCCTGGAGAAAAGGGATGTTTTGGAGGGTGGCATTGAACCCCACTGAGGTCTCTGCCCTCCCCACCCCCAAATCTCCAGGAGTTTTCCAACCTGGAGCTGGCAACCCTAAACCCCTTGCCCCCAGCCGGTAGCTAGGGGGGACCTGGCAACCCTACCTGCCACACATTCTTTTCATAGGCTTCTGTTATGCTTGATGGCAGTTAGTAGCCTCAGATGAGTCAGCTTGATGAAATTGCCCACCCTCCTTGATGATCAGTCCACATTTACTCCATTTACATCCCATTTTTAACACCAGTAGCTGTTTCCCCCTGTTTACTTATTTATTTCTGACTTCAACACACTTTGCACATATTTTTGTTGTTGTTGTTGTTCCAAATGTCAGGCTAAATGAAGCAAGAGTCCACTGGTGCCTTAAAGGCTAACCAAGTGTTTTCCAGCATAAGCTTCTGAGAGTCAAGAGTTCACTTTGTCAGATAATTTTGCTGCAACCAACAGACAAACAGGGCTATACCCCAGGAATTATAACCAGAATGAGAAGCCCCACTTTTGAGTAGTCCTGCTTAGGTTTGCTCCCTGAGTCTATCAAATCTAGATTATTCTGAGGATTTGTTTCCTTGTGTCTATGTTACTGTGGGCCTTTCCAGATGTCAGACCTATTATATGCAGTTATCTGTTTTCATGTGTCAGTTCTTTGTATTGTTTATCACAATTAGTGATTAGTGTGTTGAATCTCCTGTTTTTTACCTCAGGTATCCACCCCACAAGTTCTATGATTATTTGGTGTTGTATCTGTCTCCTATGACATTCTGAACATTTGCATTATGTGATGGGACGTGGCTTTGACTGACCTCCTGTTGTGTCAGAGTATTGGAATGGATACTATCTATAGCCTTTTGTATCTGTGACAAATACAAATAATCCATAAAAGTTACTTGTCCACAAACATTTTTTCAGATTTATCTGTATATGTACAACCATGTACATATGGTTGGGTCTGGATTTGATAGATAGAGTGCCTGAAGAACTATGGACGGAGGTTCGTGACATTGTACAGGAGGCAGCAATCACCACCATCCCAAAGAAAAAGAAATGCAAGAAAGCAAAGTGGCTTTCTGATGAGGTTTTACAAATAGCAGAGGAAAGAAGGAAAGCGAAAGGCAAAGGCGAAAAGGAAAGATTTACCCAACTGAATGCAGATTTCCAGAGAACAGCAAGGAGGGATAAGGAGGCCTTCCTGAATGAACAGTGCAAAGTAATAGAAGAAAACAATAGAATGGGAAGGACTAGAGATCTCTTCGAGAAAATTGGAGAAATCAAGGGAGCGTTCCATGCAAA